ATAACTGAAAAGCTAAAACATTAATAAAACTAATCCTAATTAAATATATATAAAAAATTCACTTGAAATATTTGTCCTTGGTTCTTCCTTCTGTTCTTCATCTTCATAGTTCTATAACTGAAAAGCTAAAACATTAATGAAACTAATCCTAATTAAATCTATATAAAAAATTTACTTGAAATATTTGTCCTTGGTTCTTCCTTCTGTTCTTCTTCCTTCTGTTCTTCATCCTCATAGTCCTATAACTGAAAAGCTATAACATTAATAAAACTAATCCTAATTAAATCTATATAAAAAATTTACTTGGAATATTTGTCCTTGGTTCTTCCTTCTGTTCTTCATCCTCATAGTCCTATGACTGAAAAGCTATAACATTAATAAAACTAATCCTAATTAAATCTATATTAAAAATATTCATTTGGAATATTTGTCCTTGGTTCTTCCTTCTGTTCTTCATTTCTTCAGCTTCATAGTCCTATAACTGAAAAGCTATAACATTAATAAAACTAATCCTAATTAAATCTATATAAAAAATTTACTTGGTATATTTCTCCTTGGTTCTTCCTTCTGTTCTTCATCTTCATAGTCCTATGACTGAAAAGCTATAACATTAATAAAACTAATCCTAATTAAATCTATATAAAAAATTTACTTGGAATATTTGTCCTTGGTTCTTCCTTCTGTTCTTCATATTCCAAATTCCTATAACTGAAAAGCTATAACATTAAGAAAACTAATCCTAATTAAATCTATATAAAAAATTTACTTGGTATATTTCTCCTTGGTTCTTCCTTCTGTTCTTCATCTTCATAGTCCTATAACTGAAAAGCTATAACATTAATAAAACTAATCCTCATTAAATCTATATAAAAAATTTACTTGATATATTTGTCCTTGGTTTTTCCTTCTGTTCTTCATCTTCATAGTTCTATAACTGAAAAGCTAAAACATTAATAAAACTAATCCTAATTAAATCTATATAAAAAATTTATTTGAAATATTTGTCCTTGGTTCTTCCTTCTGTTCTTCATCCTCATAGTCCTATAACTGAAAAGCTATAACATTAATAAAACTAATCCTAATTAAATCTATATAAAAAATTTACTTGGAATATTTGCTCTTGGTTCTTCCTTCTGTTCTTCATATTCCAAATTCCTATAACTGAAAAGCTATAACATTAATAAAACTAATCCTAATTAATTCTATATAAAAAATTTACTTGAAATATTTGTCCTTGGTTCTTCCTTCTGTTCTTCATCCTCATAGTCCTATAACTGAAAAGCTATAACATTAATAAAACTAATCCTAATTAAATCTATATAAAAAATTTACTTGGAATATTTGCCCTTGGTTCTTCCTTCTGTTCTTCATATTCTAAATTCCTATAACTGAAAAGCTATAACATTAATAAAACTAATCCTAATTAGATCTATATAAAAAATTTACTTGGTATATTTCTCCTTGGTGCTTCCTTCTGTTCTTCATCTTCATAGTCCTATAACTGAAAAGCTATAACAATAATAAAACTAATCCTTATTAAACCTATATAAAAAATTTACTTGATATATTTGTCCTTGGTTTTTCCTTCTGTTCTTCATCTTCATAATTCTATAACTGAAAAGCTAAAACATTAATAAAACTAATCCTAATTAAATATATATAAAAAATTCACTTGAAATATTTGTCCTTGGTTCTTCCTTCTGTTCTTCATCTTCATAGTTCTATAACTGAAAAGCTAAAACATTAATGAAACTAATCCTAATTAAATCTATATAAAAAATTTACTTGAAATATTTGTCCTTGGTTCTTCCTTCTGTTCTTCTTCCTTCTGTTCTTCATCCTCATAGTCCTATAACTGAAAAGCTATAACATTAATAAAACTAATCCTAATTAAATCTATATAAAAAATTTACTTGGAATATTTGTCCTTGGTTCTTCCTTCTGTTCTTCATCCTCATAGTCCTATGACTGAAAAGCTATAACATTAATAAAACTAATCCTAATTAAATCTATATTAAAAATATTCATTTGGAATATTTGTCCTTGGTTCTTCCTTCTGTTCTTCATCCTCATAGTCCTATAACTGAAAAGCTATAACATTAATAAAACTAATCCTAATTAAATCTATATAAAAAAATTTACTTGGTATATTTCTCCTTGGTTCTTCCTTCTGTTCTTCATCTTCATAGTCCTATGACTGAAAAGCTATAACATTAATAAAACTAATCCTAATTAAATCTATATAAAAAATTTACTTGGAATATTTGTCCTTGGTTCTTCCTTCTGTTCTTCATATTCCAAATTCCTATAACTGAAAAGCTATAACATTAAGAAAACTAATCCTAATTAAATCTATATAAAAAATTTACTTGGTATATTTCTCCTTGGTTCTTCCTTCTGTTCTTCATCTTCATAGTCCTATAACTGAAAAGCTATAACATTAATAAAACTAATCCTCATTAAATCTATATAAAAAATTTACTTGATATATTTGTCCTTGGTTCTTCCTTCTGTTCTTCATCTTCATAGTTCTATAACTGAAAAGCTAAAACATTAATAAAACTAATCCTAATTAAATCTATATAAAAAATTTATTTGAAATATTTGTCCTTGGTTCTTCCTTCTGTTCTTCATCCTCATAGTCCTATAACTGAAAAGCTATAACATTAATAAAACTAATCCTAATTAAATCTATATAAAAAATTTACTTGGAATATTTGCTCTTGGTTCTTCCTTCTGTTCTTCATATTCCAAATTCCTATAACTGAAAAGCTATAACATTAATAAAACTAATCCTAATTAAATCTATATAAAAAATTTACTTGGTATATTTGTTCTTGGTTCCTTCTGTTTTTCATTTCGTAATCTTTATAATTGTGCACCTGAAAAACTGGGATACAATATTAATACCCTGGTGAAATCATTTTCACCTCTAATGGTGGGAATGTCCTAATGGGTAAATCTCTCAAAAAAAAAAAAATAAATGAAAAAACTGTTTAAAAACAAAGAAACAAAAAAGCCATGGCATGCCCTGTAACTTTTTGTTCTTTTGTTGCTCTCTTGATAACTTGTTTCCTGTTGAAAATATCTCAAGAAAAATAGAATAGAAAATAATAATTATGACAAATGATAGCAATATATAGACGCTATTACAAAAAAAGATTCATTTTTAAATATGCAATATCAAAAGTATACATAAAACAGTATTAGTATGATTGTACTTAAAAAATTAGCATATTCTACAAAAAATGAATAGAAAAAATAACCGTTTTTAAATCAAAATGGCTATAGTGATAAAACTATTTACGGTCTTGGTTGTTATGAAGCCTATTACAAAAATGCATAATTCTTCAGTGCTGATTGAATATAAATATCTCAGTCAATTTTTAGCTAACAGGTTGGTACTTTTGAAGTTGTAACTCACAAAACTATTATCGGATAAAAATAGCACTATTATTAGAGAAATCTCAATATTCTTAACAAAATACTATAAGTGATAAACATTAATCAACAAAAATTGAAACATTGTGGATATATTTATTGAGAATCAAATAAATATTGGATATGGGAAAAACAAAGAGTAGTTTTGGTATATGTGAATTTGTCTTATTTTCTTGAACTATAAAAATTAAGGTTAGTAAGAATGACGCCACCAAAAAGAGGCTTGTCAAACACCCTACATACTCGGATTCGTAAAATGCTTTGACTGTGATTTAAGTTCTGATTTGAAAAGACGGTACTGACATTCAACTGTATTGCCATGTTTACTGTCATAAATTTTAAAATAAAAACAGATAATTTTGACCACCAATTGCCAGATTCTGTGGTCTTTTATATTTTAGTATTGGCCGAACAAATATTGCTACTATGATTGTCATGCTGTGTATTCCCTCCCTTCATGGGCCCACCAATCACCAGAACCCCATCCCCCCTCCCAACCCCTGTGTATGTGAGTGTAATATATTTGTTTTTTGTTTTGTTTTTTGATGGAGATTCATCGACAGAAGAGACAAACCATGCCGGCCTGGTTTGTTTTCCGAAGACGATTCCAAACAAAGAACAAGCAGTGTTGATAAAATACCGGTAAGATTAGATTTGTGTGTTAGGTAGCATTGACAACCATGAATAGACTTTATTTAGTTCGCACTGATTACAAATTGTATCAAAATGAGTAAATAAGACAATAATGAGATATCATAGCATTATATTTTGAATGCTCATTTCTTATTAATAAGAAAAGTATTTGTATAATTAAGTTATATGACAAATATGTTGAATGACGCCGCCTCCTTCATGCCAAATTATTTAAGTAATCAGAGGAATGTATGTTTAGAATGGAATGGAGTGATGAAATGGAAAATTTAAATACAAATTTAAACGGTGTTTTGGTATAATAAATATATCCACTATTAAATTTTACATAATACATGAACTATAAATTCTTAATTTTTCGTAAATATGGAATCAAATATAAAAATTGTATTGTAGCGTGATGATGAATACAAAAAAAATTGATTTGGTTTCTAAACAATGGTTCGATCAAAAATCTGTTTCCGTTCATTAAAATCACAAGAACATGATTGGTCGACCCATTTGTTTTTGCATAGAAGATTAAAGTACGTTTGCCATTGGTATAGTCTAAAATAGTCTTATGTCATTGGATATAGTCTAAAATAGTCCCATGGCATTGGATATAGTCTAAAATAGTCTTATGGCATTGGATATAGTCTAAAATAGTCTCATGCCATTGGGTATAGTCTAAAATAGTCTTATGGCATTGGGTATAGTCTAAAATAGTCTCATGCCATTGGATATAGTCTAAAATAGTCTTATGTCATTGGGTATAGTCTAAAATAGTCTCATGCCATTGGGTATAGTCTAAAATAGTCCCATGGCATTGGATATAGTCTAAAATAGTCTTATGGCATTGGATATAGTCTAAAATAGTCTTATGGCATTGGGTATAGTCTAATATAGTCTTATGGCATTGGGTTTAGTATAAAATAGTCTCATGCCTTTGGATATAGTCTGAAATAGTCTCATGTCATTGGGTACAGTTTAAGATAGTCTCATGCCATTGGGTATAGGCTAAAATAGTCTCAAGTGCAGCTCAATGCATTTGTTTGCAAGTAGTTCTCAGACATGTTTGATAAAACTCTCTTTCAGATTTGAATATTCAAGTTTTACCATTTTTTATGATTCCAGATCCCAAGTTCTTTAATTGAGAAAACCTGTAGAAAAAATATACAATTAACCATAATGTCTATGATACGATATTCTTTTCCGCATTCATATATTTGAGGAAATGAATCTTAGTAGCTGTATGAGACGATCTTTCTAATTGTAGGCACGAGATAGGATATTGATTGATCCCATGTGATATCATTCCAATTTTTTTCAAGGTTTGCAGTGAAAATGGTATAACGTTCTCAGACAATGGACTTACAAGCAGGGGTCGGCAACCTTTTGTCGCTTGCGGACCAAAATTAGGGTTGCAAGTCATTGGCGCGCCGCACATGGTTTTAGAAAGTTAAAAACTTTTTCACACAGATCAGAAGTTATATTTTAAGCTGTACTTAAAAAATTTACATATGACTTGTTTGAGTTTTATAAGATATAGATATTTTTTATAGTAAAAATGCAAGCAGTGATACATCTCCCGGATAGAATATCGATTCATTTAATCATTGCATTGCATCTCAAAAAAATCCAAGTGAATATTTTCTGCGCCATTAAACTCGTTGCACTTAGCATCAACTTTTTGCGTTTTGTTGATATTTGTCTAATTATATTTGAATTATAGTCTCATTAAACGAGGAATTGTGAATTACGTACTTGTTAGGGTATATTGTGATTTAGTCTACACGTGTCTTACAATAAATTTTGTAACGTAAAAAATATAATCGTCAAAACAGTTGTTATGTTACTATCATTTAGTGACACGTCGCGGATCGGATTATATTACTCTGCGGGCGGGATCTGGCCCGCGGGTCGTAGGTAGCCGACCCCTGACTTACAGCATAACATTCAATGTAATTTTATGAATTCGTATGGGTTAGTAAATATGACCCAATAATAATTTGCTTTTATTTTGTATTTATTATGCTAATGAAAACAGTATAGAGGTCCATAATAACAAATTCTTAACATCAGTGATTTCAACATTTCTACCCCCGCAAACTGACAACACCAAATAAAATAAACTCGAGTACCGGCATCAGAATATTGAAATATCAATAATGATTTTAAGCTAACGTAAGCATGTAAGTAAAACAGGTATAACTTATACATCGTCTCATCTTATTGTTTCCTACTTTTTTTACTGCCTGAAATTATAAAATTTGACACTAAAACATGGTTTTCAATTTTACGTTACTTGATTTGGTCTCAGAGATGAAATGTTAAATGTCTTACGGATAAAAATACTGAATTCAAAAATTTAATTTTGATTGGTCTCATTATCGGGTTGCATGTTTCACAAATACTCCATTTTTTTGAATAATGACACGTTTCCTAGAATTTTCCCACTAACCATATAAACTTTCTTATGTTTCATAGTCATGTCATCTCCACGTTTTTTTCTCGCAAACTCATATGGCATTTTTATTGGAGGTGGCTATGATGACTATCTTGCGACAGAGTTTGGAATTAAATATGAAAAAATTATACTTTAGTTATCAGATTTTTCGCGCATTTGAATGCTATAAATAAAAGTTCGCATTTAATGGCTATTAAACAAGTCTGGGTCGGGCATTTAAAACTAATTTGAAGCATTTGTAATCCAAATTTATAGGTGAATCAACAGACGACAAGTCAATATATACTTCTTTACTATTATTATATACTTTCTCGAGTCGAAAGTCGCTAAATGCATTGAACCCCTGAATTGTCGACTGACATACGGACTGCGCATTCTGAGAAGTCAGATTTACAAAAAGTGAAACCAAAACAACGACTTTTAAAGAGCGAAGCAAGTTCAGTACTCAAAAGGCTCATTGAGAGTAGGGCAATTTGAACGTTTACGCAAGTTGCAACAAATGTTATGGTCTCACCTTGTTCGGTAAGGGCACATGTTTAATTTCAAATACTTTTTATAAATTTCATAATAATTGAGAGGTGAAAGCGAAATTTTTTGATTAAATAGATTTCGAAATCCTTGATATATTGCCTTGATATATATATAAAAAGGTCCAAAAGATGATTTAAGAAACTGACAATCGCGATTAGGCAATGGGAGAGCAGTTTAAAAAAAATTAATATTGAGAGATACAAAAGCTAAATGAGATTTGGTTCCAGTCTGCCAGTTAAGTTTGTCTATATCTAATCTAAAATGAGATTCAACAGCAAATATTTAGAAATGAATCCAGGCGATTTTTATTGAAAACATGAATATCGAATTTCTAACACTTTCATTAGAGATAATTTGTATAAAAGTAGTCGAGAAAATTATCTAGCAGCAAATTTCTCACTGATTTTTTTTTTAATTTGGTGTGACAATAAATTTGAAAAACAGTTACCAGAAATTTAAGCGTTTTAGGTCATAACTTTTGCAAGGACCCCTAATAATGCCTTAAGATCAATAACAAGAAGACACTATTTTGTGTCTGCAAATAATAGGAAGCCTAGGTTAATTTAAGATGCGGCCAGCGATTTCATCCGGGTATTGATATCTGGCCCGCCTGCGAAAAAGGTTGCACACCCCTGATTCAAACAAATCTCACATTTCTCACAAGTTTCATGGAAATTTCCGTTTTTCTCCGATTTTTTTCAAAACGTGGTGATTTTCTCAAATTTAACATTTTTTGCATTAGTCATAAAATTGAAGTTGTTGATTGAAATGTCATTCCCATGGGAAAGCCTGACATAGATTGGAACAATTTGAAAATTTGTATTTCCAACGCAATCTGAATTTCTAACCCAAACCCTGACAGGATAATTATTAATTTATTATTTTAACGATAGCCGGGGTGTTTTGTTATTACCGGGGGAGGAGGTGTGCAAAACATACTTAATTGATCCTAAATATGCAAATGGAATTGAAAGACTCAAAAGATTTCGATTACATACTTGCTCTGCTGGCCAGACTCGGTAGGCTCTCATCTTGCTCAGTGATGAATATCAGACAAATGACCACGACGAAATTCTTTTGATGAAATTGATGTACTGGCTTTCTAACGTTCAAGGAGTCTCTTAATAAGCTGAAAATTAATGTATTTTTAGTTCATTCTAAATTTATCAGAGGTGTATTTAGATTAGAATTGCGACGCAAAAAGAGTGAAAAGCTCAAATCAAATCGTTGATAAAATAAATAATTTTAAATTAGATTTAATTGAAACTTGTTTGGTTCCTAATCACTAATTCCAAATTAAACAGCTAAACGTGGAAGCTTGGATATCTGTGGTGGAATATATAAAATTTTACATAAGTAAAACAACTGGGTAATGGAAAGACTTCATGGCATCAAATTATTTCAAAGGATCTTCATAGAACACCTGGAACAGATCGACCCAAGGGGTTTGGATTAATCAAACCCAGTTTAAAAAACATGGGATCGACAGTGCCGTGCTCATTACGCTCTATTCATTTGTTATTGCTCCAGTAAGGGTTGTTTAGAATGATTGTTGCTACTTTTTAACGCTAAATTACGGGTATGTTGGGCAGAATAGTCAACTCTGTGGTGCGATTCTACAAAATGAAAATGGTCTGGTTCTAACAGACTTTCCATAGAAAATTTATAGGCGCGCGTTGTTGCTTAAACTATAGAAAAGACGATAAAATGAATGCATTTTTTTTGCTATAAGATAAGCATATACTCAATATATAAGAATAAAATTTGAAGCAGATTTCCCAAAAAATTACAAATATTCCTTGTGGAATGATCTTTTAGTGCAGAGATATTTAACCGGATATACTATATACCCAAATGAACACCAAACCAGATTCTGGGTTTACAAAAGAGAATTATTATAGGCCGAGAGATATACAAACGAGATAGAGATCGGAGACCGCCGACTTATCGATAATCAGCACGTTCAATATTTTACTCGACAATTTTGGCGGAGTACGATTTCACATGACTTATTCTCGTAAATTGTGCTTTATTGGTTGGCCACATTCTGAATAATTTATCCTGCTGAAGCACACAGAACTGGATCGCTTTGGTCAGTTTTCATCCAATAGCCAATTTACCACCGAAAATGGCTAACGCCAACTATCCTATATTTTGTGTCAAGTACAACGGCGCTAACCGCAATTGCGACGGCTATTCAACCACAGCCAAGCGATATTTTGGTGAAGAATTAGATTTGGTTTTAGCCAATAGCCTATGCCATAGGCCCTATGGCGAACGTCGACTATCCTATAGCTCTATAGTTTGTGTCAAGTGCAAAGATAGTATACGACGGATGCGAGACTATCCTATAGCCTTATAGTTTGTGTCAAATGCAAAGGTAGAATAAGAAGGATGGTTTCGATTGTATCCGAATTGGCTTTATACAACGATTCCATTTCAGTGATGTCGACGCGGCGTGTAACCAAAATACCTAAATGCTCAACATCGCAGACAGAGCAGTCCCCGAGCTTGTAATAGAACTAAAATAAGTATTGGAACAATATTATGGCCTAACCCTAACCTGGTACACATACTAAGTTCCGGTGTTCGCCATCTTGGGGCACAATCTAAGCAAAAGCTATACTTATAAATCAACGTCAATTTTTACGTTTTATGTTAGCAGTAATTTAGCATACATAATATCTTGTGAAAAGAGTTAGACTTTTGTCATGATTTTACTAAACAACTCCTTTCTCCAATTTATAATTTTAAATACCCTTTTGTTATTTGCAAGGTATATACGAAAGAAATAAAAAATGAAAACTATGTAACACGTAGTAAAATGTTCAAGAGCAATATTTTAGTGTATTAGATTGGGATCTTTCGTACAAAAACTTCTACACTAAAGCAAAAATGTGGGACTCAATAAAAACACATAGGTGAAGTTTTAAATTAGTAACTATCTAGTTAGGGTTAAAAACAAATTGAAATTTTTTAATTTCCATCGCAATCGATAGGGGTTGTGCAAAAGATCCTTAGATTGAACCTAAATATGCAAATTATATTGAAAGAATCAAAAAATTTCGATTACATACTTGCTTTGCTGACCAGACTCGTTAGGCTTCTATCTCAATCAGTAATGACTACCAGACAAGTGACGAGGCATTTCTTTTGATGAAATGATGTACTGTCTTTCTAACTTTCAAACAGTGTTTCAAAAAGCTGAAAATAAATGTATTTTTAGTTCATTCTCAAATTATCAGTGACGTATCTAAGGTATGTCAGCTATATATAGTTCCTAGCATTGGCGACTTTGGATTGCGCGCAAAAAGTAATAAGTTCTAAACGTAAATAGTTAGAATAAAATATTTGTGCCTATCACAAGTTCAAAATTGAACAGATGGACGTGGAAGTTTTATATCTACAGTGGAGTATAGTAAATTTTACATAAATAGAAAGCTGGGTAAATGGAAGATTTCGTAAAATTATTCCAGAGGACCTTCACCGAACCCCCGGAACAGCGCCTCCGAACCCTAGGGGTACAATCGGACCCAAGTTAAGAAACACCGCTACACCATATTCACTGGTTATTGGTCCAGTTAGTGGGTTGTTTAGAATGATTATTTCTACTATATTCAGCGCAAAATTACAGTTTTGTTGGGCAGAATAGTTAAACACATGGCGCTTCTACGAAATGAAAATGGTCCGGTTCTAATAGACTTTGCCACAAAAAATTATGAGCGCATTGGTAATTAGACCGACAAAAAGAAAAACGAGGAAATGCAATCTTCCTGCTATAAGCTTACATTCAATATACAAAAAAAAGATTTCCTTAATTTACAAATATTACCAAGTCGGAATGATCTTTTAGTGCGGTGATATTCAACCGGGCATACTATATACCCAAGTGTATACCAAGTCTGATCCCGGCTATACAAATAGCAATTGGGATACGATGGAGCACTTGAGCTATTGCCTGATTCAAATAAATTTCTCGGCCCGTTTTGTGTTTTTGAACGCGCACAGTTCCCGTTCAACATCACTAATTCATAAAGTATTTATCTATACACGGCTCCAAGTTTTGCGTGATGAATTACATGAGCGATTAGAAACCATAATAGACAAAAACAAATAAAGATTTGCAGCTACGTTATTTCTGACCACAATCTATAGTCATGAATCAACGTAAATTTTGACGTAGTTTGGTAATTTAGCACACATAATAACTTGTGACCAGAGTAAGACTTCTATCATGACTTCCCTAAACAACTTTATTCTACTTTAAATTTGTAAACAATCTTCGTTATTTGCGAGGTACAAAGTAAAAGGTTCAAGAGCACTGTTTCAGTGTATTAGATTACAAAGCACTTGGCACCAATGCAAAAATGTTAGACTTGATAAAAACACCTGCGCCAAGTTATCATCTAGTTAGGGCTAGATAGGAACAATTTGAAGAGTCAGTTTCCGGGTATACATATCAAACAGTGTTGAGAATTTCAGGGAAACACCTTAACCGTTAACCGGTAAAATTAACCGGTTAACCGCAGCGTGATGTTTGACGTAATAATATGCAAATTAAGCTTGCTACGTCGTAATGGTTACAAAGCAATTTCGGGGGATCTTATCCGGTATCGCTCAACATTATACACGAATGGAGATAGTTTCGTGATCTCTCTGCTGCATGAGATGTGCAGCATGCTTCGGACATAGGAAAGTATTTTAGTAAAACCAGAATCCGTTATTAAATGTTATTTATGTGACTCATTTTCAGTGCTCGACGTCCAAATTCTACTCTGAGATATCATGAAGACAAACAACTGCGCACTTGTTGGATGACATTGAATATACGATTTTGCAATAAAATCGTGAACAATATATTTCGACTGAAACCTGATTCTGAATTTATCATATTCTTTTGAATCAAAGGCCACAAGAGATAAATTTGCGATGACGTAATTATTTATGAAGAAATGTACATTATAAAGATGAATTGTACCTGAGATGTCAGTTAATTAACGGTTGAAATAAATCGCAACCGTTTTTAGTTTAGTTCATAAACGCGCATACTACACGTCCAAAAACGGGACTGACTAAATTTTTGAAATGTTTGTCTGTTCACGCTACGAATTTAGCGAGATGAATCACATGAGCGAGTAGAAGCCATACTACGCAAAAAATAATGTTGCGGAGAAATATACAGAAAAGTATGCGGCTACGATATATGCTAATCTATAGCACACATAATATCTCGTGACCCGGCTGAGACTTCTGTCATTACTTCACTAAACAACTTTTTCTCTACTTTATATTCGTTGTTTGCAAGGTACATACGAAGAAAATAAAAATTGAAAATTATGTACCACGTAGTAAAAGGTTCAAGAGCACTATTTAGTGCATTAGATTGGGATCTTTCGTACAAAGCCCTTGACACTAATGCAAAAATGTGAGATAAAACCACCTGCGCCAAGTTATTATCCAGTTAGGGATAATTACAGGCTTGTCCATGAGACTTGTTTTTCTGTCCCATTCAAAACCCATAGCAATTATGCCTGTCACATCCCATCCCAGGGGATTCCCATTGGGACAAAAAATTTAATAAAAATTGTTAAATTTAGGTTTAGCTTCCACTAAGTGGGACTACATGTACAAAGAGACATGCAAAACAACAAAATTTACGGATTTTGTTAACTTTATCTTCCTAACTATTATACATGTGTCCATCAGTCTCTTCACGAAGTACATTGTTAATGCTAAATACCTCGTCTATTTTGCTCTTTATAACTAACAAGAGATCTATGCTCAAATATATGGACACGAACTCATAACGAAATGTTCTACGAATATTTATCCCCAAAATCATACGATTTTTGTGTCCCACGCGTCCCATGGAAATGTCATTCCCATGGGCAAGCCTGACATAGATTGGAACAATTTAAAAATTTGTGTTTCCAACGCAATCGGAATTTCTAACCCAAACCCTGACAGGATAATTATTATTTTATTATTTTAACGATAGCGGGGGTGTTTTGTTATTACCGGGGGAGGAGGGAGGTGTGCAAAAGATACCTAATTGATCCTAAATATGGAAATGGAATGGAAAGACTCAAAAGATTTCGATTACATACTTGCTTTGCTGGCCAGACTCGGTAGGCTCTCATCTTGCTCAGTGATGAATATCAGACAAATGACCACGACGAAATTCTTTTGATGAAATTGATGTCTTTCTAACGTTCAAGCAGTCTCTTAATAAGCTGAAAATTAATGTATTTTTAGTTCATTCTAAATTTATCAGAGGTGTATTTAGCTTAGGATTGCGACGCAAAAAGAGTGAAAAGCTCAAATCAAATCGTTGATAAAATAAATAATTTTAAATTAGATATAATTGAAACTCGTTTTGTTCCTAATCACTAATTCCAAATTAAACAGCTAAACGTGGAAGTTTGGATATCTGTGGTGAAATATATAAAATTTTACATAAGTAAAAAAACTGGGTAATGGAAAGACTTCATGGCATCAAATTATTTCAAAGGACATTCATAGAACACCTGGAATAAACCGACCCCAGGGGTTCGGTTAAATCAAACCCAGTTTAAAAAACCCAGTATCGACAGTGTCGGGCTCATTACGCCATATTCATTCGTTATTGCTCCAGTAAGGGTTGTTTAGAATGATTACTGCTACTTTTTAACGCTAAATTACGGGTATGTTGGGCAGAATAGTCAACTCTGTGGTGCGATTCTACAAAATGAAAATGGTCTGGTTCTAACAGACTTTCCATAGAAAATTTATAGGCGCGCGTTGTTGCTTAAACTATAGAAAAGACGATAAAATGAATGCAATTTTTTTGCTATAAGATAAGCATATACTCAATATATAAAAGAATAAAATTTGAAGCAGATTTCCCAAAAAATTACAAATATTACTTTGTGGAATGATCTTTTAGTGCAGAGATATTTAACCGGATATACTATATACCCAAATGAACACCCAATCAGATTCCGGGTATACAAACAAGAATTATTATAGGTAGAGAGATATACAAACGAGATAGCGATCGGAGACCGCCGACTTATCGATATTCCGCACGTTCAATATTTTACTCGGCAATTTTGGCGGAATAGGCTACGATTTCACATGACTTTTTCTCGTAAATTGTGCTTTATTGGTTGGCCACATTCTAAATAATTTATCCTGCTGAAACACACAGAACTGGATCGTTTTGATCAGTTTTCAGCTAATAGCTAATTTACCACCGAAAATGGCTAACGCCAACTATCCTATATTTTGTGTCAAATACAACAGCGCTAACCGCAATTGCGACGGCTATTCAGCCACAGCCAAGCGATATTTTTGTGAAGAATTAGATTTGGTTTTAGCCAATAGCCTATGCCATAGGCCCTATGGCGCACGTCGACTATCCTATAGCTCTATAGTTTGTGTCAAGTGCAAAGATAGTATACGACGGATGCGAGACTATCCTATAGCCTTATAGTTTGTGTCAAATGCAAAGATGGAGTACGAAGGATGGTTCTGATCGTATCCGAATTGGCTTTATACAACGATTTCATTTTAGTGATGTCGAAGCGGCGTGTAACCAAAATATCTAAACGCTCAACATCGCAGACAGAGCAGTCCCCGAGCTTGTAATAGAACTAAAATAAGGGAATTGAAACAATATTATGGCCCAACCCTAACCTGGTACACATACTAAGTTCCGGTGTCCGCCATCTCGGGACACCATCTAAGCAAAAGCTACACTTATAAATCAACGTCAATATTTACGTTTTTTGTTAGCAGTAATTTAGCATACATAATATCCTGTGACAAGAGTTAGACTTCTGTCATGATTTCATTAAACAACTCCATTCTCCAATTTATAATATTAAATACCCTTTGTTATTTGCAAGGTATATACGAAAAAAAAAATTGAAAACTATGTACCACGTAGTAAAATGTTCAAGAGCAATATTTTAGTGTATTAGATTGGGATCTTTCGTACAGAAACTTCTACACTAAAGCAAAAATGTGAGACTCAATAAAAACACATAGGCGCAGTTTTAAATTAGTAGCTATCTAGTTAGGGTTAAAAACAAATTAAATTTTTTTTAATTTCCATCGCAATCGATAGGGATTAGGGGTTGTGCAAAAGATTCTTAGAATGAACCTAAATATGCAAATTATATTGAAAGAATCAAAAAATTTCGATTACATACTTGCTTTGCTGACCAGACTCGATAGGCTTCTATCTCAATCAGTGATGAATACCAGGCAAATGACGAGGCAATTCTTTTGATGAAATGATGTACTTACTGTCTTGCTAACTTTCAATCAGTGTTGGGGGAAGCTGGAAATAAATTTATTTTAGTTTATTCTCAAATTATCAGTAGCGTATCTATTGTATGACAGCTATAGCTCCTACCATTGGAGATTTGTGAGTGAAAAATTTTAATCCTAAATTGTTAAAATAAATAATTTCTGCCTTATCACGAATTCAAAATTACGGTCGGTAAGTAGTTAAACGTGGATATTTGCATATCTGCATATAGTAAATTTTACATAAGTAAAAAGCTGGGTAAAGGAAAGATTTCGTAAAATTATTCCAGAGAACCTTCAGGTTTGGTTTAGTCAAACCCAGTTAAAAAACCCCGTTATAGACAGTGTCGTGCTCATTACGTCATATTCACGGATTAATGCTCCAGTTAAATGGTTGTTCAAAATGGTTGTTGCTACCTTTTTAACGCTAGATTACGGGTATGTGGGACAAAATAGTCAACTCCAATGTGCGACTCGACGAAATCAAATGGTCTGGTTCCAACATATTTGGCCTTAAATAATTATGAGCGCGCATTGGGGCTCAAACTAGCGAAAAAAGAACGAAGAAATGCAATTTTTCTGCTATAAGATAAGCTTATACTAAATATACAAAAAAGATAATTTGTCGCAGATTTCCACAAAAATTACCAACTTGGAGTAATTTTTTAGTGCAGTTATATTCAACCGGATATACCATAAATAAGCAGGAGTATACCAAGATAGATCCCGGCTATACAAATAGCAATTGGCGTACGATGGTACACTAGAGCTATAGCCTGATTCAAATAATCAAATTTCCCGGCCCGTTTTGTGTTTTTAAAAGCGCACAGGTCCCGTTAAACATCGGGCTCAATAATTTATGAAGTATTTGTCTCTCCACGCCTTGAAATTTCCGAGTACAAGCTATAGTCACAAATCAAAGTCAATTTTTCCCTTTTTTTATTTAGCACACATAATATTTTGTGACCAGCGTAATACTTCTATCATGACTTCACCAAACAACTTTTTCTGCGCTATTTTATTAAATAATTTTTGTTATTTGCGGGGTATATACGATGAAAATAAAAATTAAACAAGGTGTAACATGTAGTAAAAGGTCGAACAGCGCTCTTTTAGCATATTAGATTGGAATATTTTGGAAAAAAGCACTCGACAATAATGCAAAAATAGGCGCTCCTGAAGTATGTGTACCGATATGTCGGACACCATATGTGTACCAGGTTAGGGTTAGGCCATAATTTTAGATACAAATACTACGGGAGTCACATGGCTGTTCCGGTGTCAGCCATGGTACGTGTACCTCAGGAGTACCCCAAAATATGTGATTTGAAAAACACCTCCGCCAAGTTTTAAAATAACAAATGAGTAACTAGTTAGGGTGAGTGTTTTTTTTTTTTTGACCGGGGGATTTGTTCAACCAACCAACGATCCTTAGATTGAACCTAATTATACGATTAAAATTAAAAGATTTCGATTACATACTTGCTTTGCTGGTCAGACTCGATAGGCTTTTATCTCACTCAGACGAATTTCTAATATTGATGAAGTAGTATACTGCCTTGTCAACTTTCTACAAGTGTTTAAGAAAGCTGAAAATAAATGTATTTGACATGATCGTCGTATTTTCACCAAAATAATAACGTACAAGTATTTCAATTCAACATTAGCCCTTCGAAATTGTGATTCAACCATCAAGGGGCGCATTTTCAAACTTTTGCGTAGATACATCCCTGCAAATAATTCAGAGATTTCTCCTAAATTTATGAAATATGACTTATTTGGAATGATCTGTCAGTACATTGTGTTGCACCTCATCTTGTAAATGACGACTAAACTATTAACAATTATGTTATAATTCACCTTCTTATGAAAATCCTCTCTACAGACACAGATATCTGCAGACATTTAATTTCATAAGATACTACTCGCAGTTTTCGAAATATATAACGAAGTACAATTATTATGCCAAGAATCTGTCCAATGACGCTTTTATAACTTTTTATGGAATATATGACTTATTACTTCTGTTAAGTATGTGGCATTACCTTATTGATTATGAGAATCCATGGATGTCGAAAAGTCGAATAAAATGTATAAATGTTACCTGTAGATTTTCCCTCGGTTTCGTTACATCGTGCAACAATTCTGCATCTGAAAAGTTAAGATATTAAGAATAAACTGTTGCAGAACTTTCTAATGCGGGAATGGGAATACGTCTAACCACAATAACTAAAATATAAAAGTAAAAAAGCCCAGTATATATAAATCCATGAATTTGGTGTTATAGTTGAGGTTTCGAAAGTTATCTATATTTCATTGATGTAAAGCGTGCCATGTGAAATGCAGCTTACGCAGTGACTTATATCGGGCGCGACTTTAAAAGTGTGAAAATAACTGAATTCTAGGATATATATAATATGCGAGAACTCCTGAGAAAATATCGAATATTTGATGAATGAAACAGCAGAGCTATTCTATTAACTTTGTATCTTTCGCTAACTCGTTAATTTAGAATAAGTCTCAGGTATGTTTAGATTTTTAGTTCATATTGAAAATAATAGGAAATTGTAATTTCAATCAAAAAGATTTAGAAATCAGTTTATGAAAAGCAATACATACAAAAATTGAGATAGTAAGCAAAAATATTAACCAAATCAATAATAAAAGGGAAACCATATAACAGCTTTACAAACACTTGTTAATATTTAGCTCACTTGAATATTGTTCCAAAGAGACAAACTGATAAGGAGTAATATTCCAGCATCATCCGCACACAAAATCGACCGCACTCCATCATGTAAATTTGCTACTGAGGCGTTGTCGCTTGTGCCTCCCGCGCGAAGAGTGGACGAAAACGCTAATTAGTCCTTTGTAATTAAACCATTTTAATTAGTCCCGTTATTTCAGGATCCAACAACCCTGGATCGCTGCGAGCGGATCACGCTTCTGACACGTGATCACAAAACATAAACAATGCAGATGACAAATGGTATTTGCTTTAATATTACTTGTGATTGTTTGAATGCCCAATTTACATTAATTTCTTCGTCCAAACCAAACGTTGGAGACATAACATACATAGCAATATAATCGAGTTACATGTGAAAATCCTGATGAATTTCTCAGACCGATGGTAACAATTGATAAAGACTCGATTTAGCGCAGAGCTAGCCCAAACTGGAGTTGCGACACCGCAGGTGAGACGCAGCAACGAAGTTTTGGGGTTGCACAGAATACTCGAATTTTACGCACAGAGTACTACCGGAATATCTAATGTAAATTTTAAACTTTTGATTCAAAACACAACTATTAAAACTAATGAAACGTATAAATTCCACTATTTTAAAACAATCGACAGAATCAGAGAAGCGCTGGGCTTGCATCGAACTATAAAAGTTTTGGTAGCCTAGATTTGGCCAACTTTTAAATCAGTGATTCGTAACCATTTCGAGCCATCAGAGAACCCTTTTATTACTCAGGGAATTTCGTCAAACCCCGAAGTTTCGAACGGTTGAAACCAGGGGTGCAACCAGAACCTCGTAGGGGGAGTGAATTTTGTGCAAGATATAGAACAGGGGTTGGTTTTCTTTTTCGGCTCGCGTGCCAAAATCGGCTAAATTTTTTTACAAATTTTTTCGCGTGCCGACAAAAATTAAAAACAATGCTTTGCTACTTTAAAGCAAAAATACACAATAATAACCCCTTTAAACATGCACACACAGATTCACTATTCGGAAAAATATCAGTCCGAAAAATATATGAGATTACTTTTCTTATTCTATATATATCAGTGAGACTTCTACTGCTGCATTACCGCTGATAGAGTTATTTTTGATATTTGTAAGATAATTTACTATATATTATAATATATTAAATTTATGGTGAACAAGTTATTAGAATATTTTCACTTAGGTGTTGGATTTCGACATAAAACACCGTTGTCAGGAAATATTGATATCATTCGAGAGATCTAATTTTGGGTTTTATTTTGAAATCGTTCCCGACGGTAGAATTTTTTTTATTTTTTGATAATTTTATCAGGAACAAACCTTAGGATCAATTTCAATTTATATTTGAAATTTGACGTGAAACACCATTACCGCGAAATATTGATATCGGTCGTGTGTGCTAATTTTGACTTTTAATTTAATATCTTTTTCTCTAGGGTAGAATTTTTTGAAATTTGTAAGATCTTATACTGTATAATAGGATAATTTAATTCCGTGCTAACAACTCGGTGAATCCTTTTTGATGGACTGTTGAATTTCGACATCAAAAGCCATCGAGACAATGTGCATCTGCTGGTGTAATGTTTTTATCATGTTTATTTTTTATTTTACAAGATGTTTTTGTGCAAATCAGGTATGGTTTATTCATAACTACAATTTTATTCATAAAAAGAACAAGCACTGAGCTTAGATTTTAATTTTCTTATTTTTTAGATCCGACGGTAAATTTCAGGCTTGTTTACCTTCATATCTGGCAACACTGGTTAGAGAAATTATTGTTCAGTTGATTTTGATACATTCATTTTCCTGGCAATTGTGACCATTTTGTGCTATCAATTGGCCGACTCTGAGAGGTTCTGGAGCTGATTTAAATGTGGATATATGTAATTTAGTAATCTGTGAGAGCTTAGGATGCCTTAACGTACACTGTCAGAACGCCAGCCCACACTCGTGTGACGCTAGCCCACACTCGTGTGATGCTAGCCCATACTCGTTTTTGTCAGGCCATACTAGGGGTAACTGGCTGTGCTTGGTATTGCATTTGCGTTGTATATATCAGATATGGCCTCTTTATTGTCAGAGCCACCAAGTTTTTTTTGTAATAACGTTTATAAAGCCAGTAAAATGGTTAATTAACCCGTTGACGTCAGGCTGAGTGTGGGCTGAACGAGTGTGGGCTGGGGTAACTTTGGTCATAGAATTTATCAAATTCCACACGCACAATAAAAATGTTAACTTTTCTAAGGAAGCAATTGAGGTGGCGAAATAGACGGTTACAATTATTCATACTCGCGCTCATGAAAACTTGAGGTTTGATTTCGAACGTTTTGAGGTTCCAATAAGTAATAATAATGGACGCTTAAATCCTGATGTTATAGGCTTTGTGTGTCGGTGAGAGTCGCGTGTTTTACAAATCTTAAATTTCCCTTCAAGATTTGCCTTTTCCGGAACTTTTCCTCTTTTTGTATCTGATGATTTACGCGTGAAATTGAAATAAATTTATAATAATCACTTTCCTTAATCAGAAAGTTTTCTTTGCGTCTTTGGTCAAACAACTCAAATCAGAAACACAGCCCTCGACCCCTTTTGTATATTTCCGACCACACAAGACCCATTGTCCTTCGCCATTATTAAACTTGCCTGCCTGACACATTGAGGTGTATAAACAATGGCCTAACACCATAACCCAGTCGGCTAATCTCCATTTCGACCCGTTTGTATTCGCACGACCTTTCGACCCAGGGATAGACTGGTTGTAATCAAATCCCAATAATAGTTTTAAAATCAACTTCCTATCATAGACCATACGTAAATCGTAAAAAAAAAACGTTAAAACGTAAATGCAAATTATTACGTTGCGATGTTATCACAATACCTTGTCCCGACAAAAAATCTCAATATAAAAATATTACGGATTGGTATTTGTTGTCATTATAGAAGACAGCGACTTGACGCTAAAAATATCAAACGTAACAGACAGAAACAAATAGCAGCCAGTCAGAGCTTATCGGACAAAGAAGAGATCGAAATATATTTTCCCACAAGCATTTAGAATATTTAGAAAACCAAATTATTAGCCGAGATTTTCTATAATTCTGATTGATATTGCTGTATTGTATTAGCTAACACACAGTTAAATAATCCGAAAGTCCGTTCCCGTGAAACCAAAAAGTTTGCTTCGATGAATGTTTCCCCGATCATCGATTTCCTCGTTTTTTTTGTAACAATCGTGATGAAACAATTGCTATCTTTGGAGCCGCTCAGACGCTTTTTCCACTCTGTCAATTATTTGGGCATGTTTGTGAACATTGCCTCGTTTTCCTCAATTTGCGCGGTATTTGTCAGTTTTTAGTTTTTGTTCCAATAATCTAAAATTGATTCCGAAAACGCTGCGACAGACTAGGCTAACATTAACTACCAGTACCTTCAAATGGCACGTTGATATATATTTTCAATACAAATAATGATTTTAAACATGTAAACATGTTATGACTCCAGTAGAAGCAATAAAGCATAAAAATCTTGCAATGGTATAGTATAGGAAGAATTTTCTTGAGGTCAAAGGTAGGGGGAACATCGATTAGAATTAGATTGACAAAAACGATAAGGATCAGGTTGGAGTCACAGAAACCAATTAAAGAAATCACTAGCTATAGTTTAATTAATTCAATACAAATAATGATTTTAAACATGTAAACATGTTAGGCCTCCAGTAGAAGCAAAAAAGCATAAAAATCTTGCAATGGTATAGTATAGGAAGAATTTTCTTGGGGTCAAAGGTAGGGGGAACATCGATTAGAATTAGGTTGACAAGAACAAGGTTGGAGTCACAGAAACCAATCAAAGAAATCACTAGCTATAGTTTAAATTTGAAATACATAAATAAAGCACCTTCTTGCATTGATAAAATATAAGATTTCATAATTTATTTATAGTTATAGGCTATAAAATATAAACCGTCAATATAAACCATTGAATCGTCTAAATTCATTTAGGTGCAATATCGTTGAATAATGCAGTTGAGCAGAGTCTTAGATATATTTAAACATTGTATGACAAGGAAATATGTGGTGCATGCGTCACATTCATTTAGTGTTAAACTGATCACACTCCTGTAAAATGTAGATAGATAATGGGTCTGTGCGGTAGTAATTGACCCCACTGAGCACTGATTCGACCTGATTTCAACCCTCGAATAAGCATTGAGGCAAATAATAGAACAGAGATATAACGTGCTTGAAGGATAGTTGGCACAATCTTTAGCATCTGCATTTAAGCAACCAATTATGATGTTTGGATTTAATAAAAAGTGTTAAAAAATAATGTCAAAGTGAGGTTATTGCGAAAAAAGGCTTGGATTGGCGTGTGGCCATCTGCGAAGTGTTTTCTATTCTTCTTGGAGAATTGG